AACTAAGAGCAAAAATTGTTTGAAGTATATCAGAAGCCAGAAGACTGCCAAACATTCAGTGGGTTCTAAATTAGCTGTTACCACTCAAGAAAGATCTTGGAATCATGGGGGATAGTTCTCTCAAATAATCTGCTCAATGTGCAGCAGCAGTCAAAAAAGCTAACGAAGTTAGGAACCACTTGGAAAGGGATAGAGAATAAAACAGAAAATATCATAATGCCATTATATAAATCCATGAAACGTCCACACCTTGAATGTACTTCTTGTCACTCCATCTCTAAAAAAATATATTAGAATTGGAAAAAGTAGAGCAGAGCAACAAAAATGACTCTGGGTATGGAACAACTTCCATACGAGGAGAGATTAAAAAGCCTGGGACCGTTCAGCTTAGAAAAGAGACGACTAAGGGGGGATAGGACAGAGGTCCATAAAATCACGAATGGTCTGGAGAAAGAGTTATATTTACTCCTCACCGCAAGACCCAAAGGTCCCCCAATTATATTAAGAGGCAGCAGATTTAAAACAACCTCAAGAATGTACTCCACACAATGCACTGTAAATCTGTGGAACTCATACCCAGGGGAAGTTGTGAAGGCCAAAAGTATAACTGGGTTCAAAAACAAACTAGATAAGTTCGTGGAGGATAGGTCCATCAATGGTAATTAGCCAAGATATTCATGAATCTAACCTCATGCTCCGCGTGTCCCTAAACCTCCAAGTGCCAGAAAGTAGGACTGGATGACAGGGGATGGATTCCTCAATAAATTCCGCTGTTTTCAGAGATGAAAGTAAGCTGGTACGGTCCAGTTCGGCGTACCAGCAAGAGCCAGTACGCCGTGCCGGACCGCACCGGCTTCCCCAGCAGTGATTTAAAGGGCCCGGGGGTCCTGCCACTGCAGGGAGCCCCAAGCCCTTTAAATTGCCTCCGGAGCCCCAGCAGCAGGGCTTGGGCCGCGCTTTAAAGGGCCCGGGGCTCCCCGCAGTGGCAGGACCCCCGGGCCCTTTAAAGCACCGCTGGAGCCTGGCTGCCGGAGCCGGGCTCCGGCGGGGATTTAAAGGGCCAGGTGCTCCTGCCACTGCAGGGAGCCCCGGGCCCTTTAAAGCACCGCCAGTGTCCTGCCCCGCTACAGGGAGTGGCGGCAGGGCTCCGGCGGGGATTTAAAGGGCCCGGGGCTCCGGCCGCTGTGGGGAGCCCAAGGCCCTTTAAAGCTCTGCTAGAGCTCCGGCAGCGGGGCTCAGGTGGCGCTTTAAAGGGCCCAGGGCTCCCCTCCCACTGCAGGGAGCCCCGGACCCTTTAAAGTATCACCGGAGCTCTGGTAGCGGGGCTCGGGCGGGGGCTCCCCGCAGTGGCCGGAGCACCGGGCCCTTTAAATCCCCGCCTGAGCCCGGCAGCCGGAGCCCTGGGGCTCTGGCAGCCAGGCTCCAGCAGGGATTTAAAATACCTGGAGCTCTGCAGCGGCCGGAGCCCCGGGCCCTTTAATTCACCGGGGCTCACAGCCGCCTCTGCAGCTGGTAGCTCCAGGGTGATTTAAAGGCCCCAGTGCTCCCAGCCAGAGCCCCGGAGCCTTTAAATCGCCTCTTCCGGTTGAGGCCACGCCCCCACCCAGGACTCCAGCGTACCAGTAAATCCTTTAAGTTACTTTCACCCCTGCCTGTTTTGTTCATTCCCTCTGAAGCATCTGACAGTGGCCACTGACAGAAGACAGGATATTGGGCTAGATGGATCATTGGTTTGACCCAGTGTGGTTATTCTTATGCCTCTATTTCCCAATTTTACTTCTTTTATCAACAATAGTCACGAAAAGGATTCTAATTAGATAACACTAATCAGGTAGAACTGCATGTGATTGACGACTGAGAAAACACTATCTGTTCTCTGTAAAACAAAACAGATTGGCTATTTTCCCTGAAGAAGCTGGAGATTTATCAATACACAAAACAAAGCAAAAAAGCCAATAGATAACGTGTAATTAAAGATTGGTCTATATATTTTACACTGACATACATCTAAAATGAGTCGTGGAGGGTAAAAGCTTTTATTGGGGAAAAGGTGATATTAGTCACCAACGAAAAAACTGAATAGTCATGAAAATAAAATTTAGAAAATTGTCACATGCAGAGATGTTTCATAAACTGCATTAAAAACAAAATCCAATAACTCATGCAAATAGTTTTCATATCTATGACAGCAGACTAATTCCAACAGTGTTTTATTTGTTTTCTTGAAACATTTTCCTTTAATAGGCTGCAATGAACATTCCAATTACATTTTTAGATAACCAAAACCAAGGAAACATGCTAAATACCACTTAACCTGTAATTTTTGTATAGTTGGTAGAGTACAGATAACAATCGACAGACTATCCATTTTAACATACAGATTTTTCCATGATTTGTTTCCTTCTACTATCAGATTATTTAAATTCCAATAAAGAAATAAAATTTGTGACAATACCTTTCCTGTTCATTTGCTAGTATTCTCAACATTTAAATGGAAAGAGTTTATTTGTCATCTGTTACTGAAGTGTATTTGGTTTATACGATCTCATTTGCAAATGAGACAGCATCTCTTATTATGACATCAAATTAAAGGAAACTGTGACATCTGATGTTTTTGTGTATTAATGGATGAATTCTAACCTCAGCTAGTCATGCAGTTTCAGTGAAACTGATAATTTATTACTGAGGACAGAATTAGCAGTATTATCTAGGTTATAATTTTCCTATTTAGCTGACATCAGTATTCAAATTCCTTAGAAACCCAACTTTATCATTTTGATAAAACCAGTTCTGCACAATGTCTCCATCAGGACTAACATCAAATGTGTGAAATACATCACAAGTCCTTTCAAAAGAAGTGTGGCAAAATTAATGACACAATGGACCTTCAGAAAGAAACAAGTATGTGGAAACAGTTTCTGCAAACAGAACCATAGCTACCAACATGAACTTTCCTTTTTTTTCTCCCACCCCACCCCTGTTCTTGAGGAACTGGTCTGCAAATAAACTGGAGGTCTAGAAGCTTCCAGGTCTGCAATAACCAGAGAATTGCATATGGAGGTGGGTTAGTACAAGTTACTTTGTATCTTGATTAGTAGTCTCAAAACTGATCCAAGAGAGCAGGTTTCTCCTAAACCTTTCCTACCAAGTCAAGAGGACAAACAATAAAACATCCACCAAATCCTACCTTCTCTAACATATGTTGCATCAGTCTGTCTCACTGTCATGCAAAACTGTAAAATATATACACGCAAAGCAGTCGTTTGAAAGCCCCAAAAGGTTGGCATTTGGACACTCACACTTGCACTGTGAGATGCTGGGAGATTGTTTGAATAGCATATGATAGGCTGGGGGATTATTTGTGAAAGGGAAAATGGTAAAGTGTGAATTTGTGGGAGCAGAAAATTCCTTAGAAGGATCCAGAAGAACTGCCTGAGGTAAGAAAGAGAAGTAGGAGAGCAAGTTGGGAAAGTTTGGGGAAAAGTGAGGGGAAAGGAAGCAGTGGTGGGAAGACTGACCTGGAAAACTGGTATCTGAGTGAGAAGTGGGTAAGGGATTTTTGACTGGGGTCGGGGAGCCCAAGAGTTGAAAACCTAGCAGGAGCGTAATCTACAAAACTGTAAAATTGGAAGCATGCACACTTAAAATATACAATACTCATGTAACCCTAAGAACACCTCAATGTCAACCAGTAAAGGGGGTTACAAGAATATCCTGATCCTGGTATATACATTATGGTTCACCAAAGAATATTATATAAGGTCCTAAATGAAAGCCACGCTCACACAGTTCATTAATATCATTGTAATATGTACATACAGATACTTTGTAAAAAGTAATGTATGTATCCTGAAAATATATTCCTGTCAAGGAAGAACTAGCAACCAGATTTTCTCTCAGACAAAGGAGGTTTATTCACCTGTCTGTGCAACTTGTAATTTAAGCATTATAAGCTAACACAGTTTACATACAAAGCTAATAGGGAGATGTGAAATCAACAGGATAACAAAACACAGGTAAATAAGCCACGGGGGTTCTCCTGAGTTGGGGAACAAACAATGAACTCTGGGGATATAAGTAGATGGCAAGGAAGACACCTCTTTATCCTGAATCTAGGAAGTAATCGGGCAATGAGATTACATTAATGAAAACAGGCTCTCAACCCTGCTTGGCTGAAAATGCTGCAAAGGACATTTGAGGTGAGATAACTTAAGCTAACTTTCTGTCTGAATATGTTTTAAGTTTAGTCTCTAGGAACCATGTAATGATTTTGTTGCATCTGTAACCCTCCTGTTACCATGATCCTTACTCACTCGCTCTTGAATCTTGATCTTTGATAATAAACGTATGATTGTTTTCACTATAAACGTATCTCAGTGCTGTGATATTATTTAAGAAGGTGATCCGGAGCTGAATCATTCAAGCTGGCGTGTGCTTTGGGGAGAGCAGACCCGGTATTACTGAGAGTGTTCAGTGGTTAAAGGGCTGATTACTGTAGGGGAATGTTTCCAAAGGGTTCGGTGATGGGGTGCACCTATTATTAATCTACAAGGCAAAGGGAAGGCTGGTATATCCCAGAGTGCTTGGGTGGCGGACAGACTGGGAGCTGACACACAGTTAAGCACCAGCAAGTCTCAGGGAGGTACCTAGGGGACTCAGTCCTGGGCACTCCAAGAACCATCACAAGTCTTCAGTGCCATTCTGTGGAGAGCGGGTGGGGGAGTGCAGCAGCTCCAAGAGCAGTGCATGAGAGTGCTATATAATTGTGCTGTTGTGTGTGGAAGGCAAGGTCACAGTGGGTCAGTCAAGCTCTTGAATTTTCAGGAGTGTCAGTACAAAAAACCAAGATGCAAAGCTTGCAAAATTAAGTCGATTCCTGTTTCAAGTTTCTGATGCATACGGAGCAGCAAAACAAATACAACAAACATTTCAAACAGGTAGTTTGGGGGTTGGCAGTGTCCCAATCACATTTCACTCCAATATAGTATGAGTCAACTCACCTGAGTAAGCCCAGTAAGAATCCCCCGAGGCCTTACGCCGCCGTATTTGCACAGAACTACCATGTCTGTTTTCATGTAGTGAGCCAACGTACCCTTCAGTCAGAGCTGAGAAAAGGAAAGAAACAGCAGCAATTAGGAAAATGACGTTCACTCTCTAAACATATTATATGTTAAGCAGAGACAATGGGCGTGGTGCTGTTCATAAAACAGAGATGCTCCTTACTCCTGAAGAGTTCACAATCTAAAGAGACGACACAGAAGACAGGACGTACTGGGAAACCCTCATGACTGAGTTACCTTCGGAATAGGTTTTTTAGCTTCTTCTGAATGAAGACCTTTCTTTGGTGTGGGGGAGCAGAATGGAAGAGGGTGCAAAGAAGAGAGAAGGAAGTCATGGGATGTTCAAGCTGACAATGCTATTGGAGGAAAGGGGGCTAGGTGGGTACACTTCGGGGAAGGGATTATCTTTTTGTTCTATGTTTATACAGCACCTAGCACAATGGGGTCCTGGGCCATGACTGGGGCTCTTAGGCGCTACAGTAACACAAATAATAAATGACAACCCAATTTCAGCCTGGACTGTATCTGTACAGACTCTTGAGTCAGGCATACGGTCTCTGAAGAGACAACAATGGGTTACTGTGACACAGAGGCTCCTAGGCAAAGAGTCCCCTGTTCTTTGCCAACAACTCTCACCTCAGACTTGACAAACTCACAACACCAAGCACATCTTACAGAGTATTTCTCCATAAAGAGTATCATGCAAGGTATCAATAGCAGATGTACACCAGCAGAGAGGCTAGCCCAGGACATTTAGACTGTCAATAGACTTTCTATCTAGCCACACAAAGGGTACGTTGTGGACTTGCTTTACTATTCATACACAAAACAATAACTGCTCTCGGAAAAACAGCAGGTAGACAGATTCTTGAGAAACACGCATGCCAGAGTCCAGCACATTCTATAAACTTTCTGCTTTTGATACAGCACTACAGCAGAAACAACATGTGAAAATCCCCAAACAGGCAGCTCTCCTACGACAAAGAAGAACCCTCTCTACCACTGTGTGGAGGTCTTTGGTGAGGCTGAGATTAATTGGCCAAAGTGGTGACGGCTTGAGAACTTCATTGAGGGGAAGTCACACTTCAGCAGCTCATGCCATCCAATCCAGCATGGAGGACATTGACACTGCCCTCCAGCCAAGGCAAGGGGTGATAGTGTCAGGCAGCCACTTTGTGTACACTCCCAAGACCACAACGCAGCAAAAACATCATTAAAAAGGAGCCACCGACCTGGTTCGCTTTCATAAAGTAAAGAACTTGAACCCACCAAACGAAACAAAAGAGGGAATACTCACTACATTGTGCCACAGAGTACTTTCATGCTTTTTTCTTGTCACTGTTAACATCTGCTTCTTTCTTTTAAAGAATTGCTCAGCTTTCGTAAGAGGGCAAGTTTATACAGGAAGATTTTGTGTATTGCTTCTGTACACGTGACAATCAAATCTGAGTTGTATGAGTTGACAAATGTCAGAAGCGTAGTCTGACAGAGAATTCCATTTTCTTTCACAATACACCGCATCTGCATACCTAGGTCTTATAATAAATGCAGAGAACACAAAAAATAAAACCTCCTTTTAATTCCAAAGAGAACTGTCTAGGCATTATTTGAAAAGCATAGTCTGACTCAACAGCAATTTAAGTCTGACTGTTCTCAGTTCTGTTATTTAATCAGGAAGGTACGAATTAAATAATTCCAACACTTAACTTCAGTAAAGTGTCCAAAAGGTTACTGCTTCTAGTAGCTGTACCACAGGTGTTGTATGCCCATCACCTCTCAAGCCAAGCATAGCAAGGCTGGGCTTATAACAAACCTTCATGGAACACCAAGTATGGGCAGTTCAGTTCAATTCTTCCCACTGAAATAATACTTCAATAACACCAGCTTGGTGCTAAGGCAACTTGGAGCTTGCTACATTTCAGTAGCAGGTGTATTAAGCTGCCCCACCTACAAAGCAGTGCAAAGAGCTTCATTTTATGGCAGAGCCAAGTGATTTCTGCAGCACAACCATGCTAAATTTCGTGGCAAACTGGAAGTTCTGTAGCAGCGTGGATGTCAGAAAAGAATTTCCCAAAAACATACGGTAGGGCTCCCCCCGGCCCACGTGAACAACAATCTTGACAGATTGTGTTATTTGATCAGAACCTCTGATTTTGAGTATTTTTCCTGATATTTCAGGCAGCTGCCAAATTCCTGGTTCACTTGCAGGATCCAATCGTGAAGGCTTTAACTTAAAGAAATAAGAAATCAGGGTCCATGCTGCAGGATTCAGGTTCAATACGTCATACCCCTTTCTCCTGTCGACTGGGAGAGGGTCTACTTTCTCTCCTCCTCGCTGATGACAGGAGAGCAGGAGATATCAATGTGAAGGAGAAGGAGTATGTGGAGTCAGAAGAGGGACAGGCAACTCCATAGGGAGAGATGTGACAAAGCACGTGGGGGACTGGAGACAGGAGGAGGCAGCAGCCGGGGGAAGAGGAAAAGAACATGGTGGTTCAGAACTTCAGGAAGTTCTGACTTTGAACCATGTGTCCTGGGACGAGTACACTGCAACTAGTTGTTATCTAATGCCCCACAATGCGGAGTTGGATAGTCATAATTTTATTGAGCATGCAGATACAGAATAATTGTAGACAGTAAACAAGATGGCAGCTGATTTTCCAGAAAACTCTGGATTTCTTCACCAGAAGAAGGATGCTACATAACCACTTACACCAGAGGTAAAGTTTTGCTACTAATTCCACAGCCACCAGGCGCTGGGTAGGCCCTACCGGCAAAACAGGAAAGAGACTGGGTCTAAACAATTTAGGGATTCTAAAGGGAAACACTCCAAGTCAGCACACAACATTTAAAATTAATTGTAGAACTCTTTGAACTCTTAGCTTGAGCAATCAAAGAATGGCAGCGTGGCAATTCTTCAGTGTGGCTATGAATCATGCTATTGATTTTCCGTATCTTCTGTGCAGAAAATTAAATTATGTAAATCTAGGCCTTTACAAATCTCTTACTTTAATGTAAAATTGAACATTTGCTAAAGTCAGCATCATATTTATGCAACTAAAAATTTGACATCCTTATGAAAATATGCAGTTTTAGTCTTCTACATAGACACTAATTATAATTATAAATCTATCTTTACTCTTAATAGGTGAACAGCCACATTATGCAACGAAACATTATGCAATGAAACAAAAGCCGCGGTGATGAGTCTCAAGGTATGTTTACACTGCAATTAAAAAACAGTGGCTGTGACTTGGGCTCGGACTAAGGTTTAATTGTGGTGTAGACTTTGGGCTCCAGCTGGAGCTCAGGTTCTAGGACCCTCTAAGGTGGGAAGGTCCTGGAGCTCCAGCTGCAGCCTGAGCCCAAATGTCTACATCACAATTAACCTCTTAGCTTGAGTTACCTGGCACAGGCCAGCAGCAGGATTTTAACTGCAGTGTAGTGTGACAAAGTTCCTCCTCTACCTTGGTGGGTCTTGCGCTTATTGCCAGATTTGCTCGCCTTGGAGCTTCACGGCAGCCCTTAGTTTGGCCGCTTTCGTGAACCCACAGTCCAGGTCAACTCCTCCTGTGTCTGACCAGGAGTTGGGAGGTTTGGGGGGAACCCAGGCTCGCCCTCTACTCCAGGTTCCAGCCCAAGGCCCTGTAGAATGCAACTGTCTAGAGTGCCTCCTGGAACAGCTGTGTGACAGCTACAGCTCCCTGGGCTACTTCCCCATGGCCTCCTCCCAACACCTTCTTTATCCTCACCATAGGACCTTCCTCCTGGTGTCTGATAATGCTTGTACTCCTCAGTCCTCCAACAGTATGCGTTCTCACTCTCAGCTCCTAGCGCCTCTTGCTCCCAGCTCCTTACACGCGCACCACAAACTGAAGTGAGCTTCTTTTTAAAACCCAGGTGCCCTGATTAGCCTGCCTTAATTGATTCTAGCAGCTTCTTGATTGGCTGCAGGTGTTCTAATCAGCCTGTCTGTCTTAATTGTCTCCAGAAGGTTCCTGATTGTTCTGGAATCTTCCCTCTTACCTTACCCAGGGAAAAGGGACCTACTTAACCTGGGGCTAATATATCTGCCTTCTATTACTCTCCTGTAGCCATCTGGCCCGACCCTGTCACAGTAGACATACCCTCAGAGCCCAGGTCAACTGACTTGGGCTTGCAGGGCTCATGTGATGGGCTGAAAATAGCAGTGTAAGCATTCCCACTTGGGCTCTGAAACCCAGCAAAGGGGATGGGTCTCAGAACCTGAGCAGGAACATCTACACTGCTAATTTTTAGCCCCGTAGCATACGCCCAAACTCAGTTGGCCCAGGGTCTGAGATTCATTGCTACAGATCTTTTCTTGCAGTGTAGATCTGCAAGTACTTAATCTCACTAAGCCTCCATTCTCCAAGTGTAAAATGGAGTTAGTAATCCTTCCTTACTTCCCAGAGATGGTGTGAGGACATATTCATTAATGTTTCTGAGGCACTCGCATATCATGGTTATGTGAGTTATTTCAGTACCAATATAGACAGATAGATGGTCTGGTCAAATGGATGGCAATTAGCTCGTGTGTATCCAAGAACAGGAAAACACTAAGTAAATATTAATGGAGCTAAGTTATTAACATTAATCACTAGAGTTTTCCATTATTCCTTCACAGGTGGGAGACGGTGAACTCACGAGCTCTGAGGTTCAAATCAGTTCAGCAGCAGAGAGCAGCAAACTTGTTTCTCATTGTACTCAGTAAGAACTGGACTCTGCAATGCAGATGGGAGTCGGAGGTCAATACAAAGAGGACTAGGGAAGCTAGGCAGCTTGGGAGTGGTTGAAGTTGCAGAAGGGTGGACAGGAGGGTCAGATCGAAAAAAACAACACACCAGTTGCCCTGGAAGGAAACGAGAAGAGGAAAAAAGGAAGGAAGTGGGGGGATCACTGTATGCAGAAGGGGAGAGAGATTGTGATACAAGGAGACACAAAGCCAGTGTCCAATTGCAAAGGGTGCTGGGTACTCACAGGATTGTACATACACCAGGCCAATGCTGAAGGTAGAGATGCACACC